CATAAAACAACGAGAGCTGCTAAAGCAACTAGTTGCTCAGGCTAATATTTTTATTCAAAAAAAGAATTGTTTCAGGGATAAGTGCAATTAAGCAAATAATGAAGAAAAGTGAAAAACTACACAGGCGTGCTTTTAATTAAACAGGGTTTTTTGCCAGTTATGCAACTTTCATTATGTATGCAATATAAAGAAACTAGCATGCATTGCCTAGCCGAACAATGCTTAGCCAAGGAGCTTACGTGAACGTGAATTCTCTAGGAGCGTATTTAACTTTGCATGCGCTCACGTCCTTTTTTGTACAATTATAAGTATTACGACACGATCCGTTATGGATCCAGCTGCAAAAAGCATAAACCGACAGCACGACAATTTCTTAAGCTTTTGAGATAGGAGGTAAGATAGAGGCCACAAAAGTAAGCAAGGTGACAGCAGGCAAGTTTTGCACTGTACAACGGCTTCGTATTATAGCAGCATTATTGAGAATATGGGGCTGAACAACAAGCACAGAGCAATCTCGCTAAACGGCAGATCGACTTGCAAGAGGCAGCAAAGATTGGCAGAGAAATGCTGACGAACCTCCACTCTTATGGCAAGTAAACGCGTTGATAAAAATCTAAAGTCCAGCAAACGAATAAGCACCATGCCATACAAAGGATAACAAAGGACAGAGATTGTCTTTTCCCCACAATTGTTCATTTTTGTTGACTGAGAGTATTTATACAAGAACACGCCTTGTAGTAATGTCATTTATTTTATCTGACGTAGGTAGTACGTAAGCGAGACTGGGTCCATTGCAAACAGCTTTGCATAGTACGCTGGCGAGTACGTCCCCTACTGAAAACGGCCCCATGAGTCCACCGGTTTCGACGACGGGCTTATTTGCATTATGAAAAAAAGTGAGTAGCACGGAAGCGGTAAGCTGTACAGGTACAATTATTGCAATTTTATCCATATTGACATAACTTTGCTTGATAGATAAAGAGTACATCCACTGGCACGCACTATCACAGTCTTTGTTTCAGACATAGGACATTTCTCTTTTTGACAGGCTTTCAAAATTTACATTGGTGTGTTATCTCAGAGCATTGTAGATCACGATTTATTGTAGTGTGAAATTGATCATCACAACTCATTGAATGTGAAAATCATTGTATATCTCACTTAATTGGGGTGCACTAGCAGATTTGCAGGCCAAAGGACAGAACAGATATTGCCATCTTGTAACGTATTACACTTTCTTGTCGCGGAACAGAGTGTGCTTTATAAGGCAGCTTATGCTTGATGACTTTGATTTATCAAGTTTATTAATGAATAACATATCTGTACTGCACGTACGTGAGACTTACAGACATATGCACCACGGCCATCTCCATTACATAGTATCACTGTCTTCATTAACACTTTGGTATTTTTGATCATTCACTATCTAACGCATTTTACACAATTGTACAATATAGTTTTGCACAATTGCGCAGATCTATAAGGGTGCGTACACAATGAAAAACAGCACGTACTTCATTACAGCTCACATCGAAGTTAACTTCTTAGCTGTCTCATCAATTTTCTCTGCATGTCATCAGCCGCCGGCCATTCTTTTGGCGCCTGGTTGTCAAATGCGCTTGAAACTAACTGACTAAATAGAACTGATTATCGATATACTGTCACTCTTGAAGCTACATGACAACCTAGGCAGCAAGGTTTGGCAGGGGATTTGGTCCTGATTCTTGATGAAGCAAAAAATCCGACCGTATCGCGTTAGTAGATCCGAATTTCTGTATGGAAGCCTCCTCTTAGTAAAATGAATGGGATCCCGTTGCAGTGATATGTCATAGTGAAGTATCACGATTATTACTTGGTATGGCCGGGCACGTAAGGTTTTAGCCAATCGACACGTATCAGTTGGTATAATGACGATAGATAGAAAACTAGATGTCACCAGAATCATATCGAGCTAATTTTTTTAATTAGAGCAAATTATTGACGGGATGTTCAGAATTGGTGCCGGGTACAGCCTCTATATGGCGTTCGATGAGCCCGACATTTATGAACCCCTTATCTTGGAGCATAGCAATTTCAGTCAAGTATTAATAAACGTCATGCGTATCGACTAGACCAAGGGGACTGAACAATGTGCAACCCACCATGATGTTTTACAGAATATTTGCTCAATATATCGGCATTCGTGCCGGAAGAGTGGCTTATTCCAGCTTAAACAATCGTGCCCAATTAACCACTTACCATCAGTCTTCTTACGTATAAAGTCAGCGATTCATGGATGAAAATTATATCATCTACGAAATTCACACGAGAGAAAGTTGTTATGACGTCACTTGTAACGGCGTTACACGTACCCAGGTAACAGAGGGGTGTGTCACACGATATGTGCATGGTGTGACTGCATTCAAACAAGAATACGGTATGTGGCTAGGTAGCGAGTAGGATTGCATATTTAGATATATATTTAGAATATCTAGGAAAATCTAACCATTTAAAATTAGGATAAAAGTAAATCAAAATCAGTCTGGAAATTTAAACCGAAGAGTCAATTAGCCTTGGGAAGGCAATAAATACTCTTGGAGTAAGCGAGTTGCGATCCGCTAACTCATACGTGGCTCTTGTAAAGAATGAAAGGTCGGTGACCTAAAGTACGCTTCCTCAAGCGTTTTGCCACGGCAGCCCCGCTGCACACCTAGCGTGTGCAATTGGCGTGATCAATACTTGACTCCAACAGCCAGATCCTCCTCCTGATGAATTCCCGACCCGGTGGACTTCATGTCTTCGTATTCAGCAACACAGGGTTAAGAAAATCCGCTGGATTCTTGAGGAACGCTCACATTGAGTGTACTGTTAGCGTCTTCAATTTATGACGGACATCGCGCATGAGCCCGACCAGCTAGGTGAGCAATTTTTGCACACTTCTCCTGAAAATAACTATTCGAGCTAAACGAGAGAGTTTCGTGTCGAGTTAGCCATGGGCACATACCTAAGGTTTCATTGTTCTTGATAATTTAAGGGTCATCATCTCTGGCATACCTATACCGGAAAAAGACCTGTATTTGTATTTTATCGATATCTTATCGCTAGGAAAGCTTACCTTCTCGCATAAGGAAGCTCCAATACTTAATAACCAACGCGCAAAGGACTGATGCCGTGCACTAACCGGTGTCATGTTGCAATTCTAAACCAAGGATGTATTTTGTTTAGCATTTAAGCGTGACTAAATATATCTGTTTAACTTTTAATATAATAAAACCCTAAATAGTGCGTAGCATGCACTCTTGTTTAAAGTGTGTCCCTTCTCCTCATCCGTACCAAATACAAATCGCGGTACCTCATCTTGGTACCTCTGAGCTTCGATTTAAGTCCAAGGGAAGGACGAAAATCGCTACACCCGTGCTAGAAAGCTCCACCAGACTTTAATTTATTAGACTTCTTATTGCACACTGCTGTCCCAACGGATTCGGTGTCAAGCACACGTAAGATTCTTTACCAAACTTTCCACTAATCCTATGTTTATACCGTAGTGTTTGTAGGTCTGGCTGATTTAAAAGAAGAGTACATATACTGTACAATCCATTATCTGTCCGGCACAAGTCTGGGTTGTGAGAATCCTTTGTACTGCAAATAACATCTTTTGCCTTGAAACTGCGAGCTCAACAAATCCTGCTGAAACTACTTTCTGATGTACGCAATCTTCTTTACTATACAAAAAGTAGTCGATTCACCAGAAAATTGTTCTAACGTGAAATTCAAGACTTCTGAAACATTTGGACCGTCGTATGCATCACAACACAATATAGCAAAGAATATAAATTAGCAGATTCTAAATAACCTCTTCTTGTGCTTCCAATTTCGAATGGGATCGCTCTTGCGATTCCTCCTCGTAATCTCTACAGCTGTATATGATTTTTTATATAGATTCGTTATGCTCTTCCTTTAGTGCAATTGTTTCCTATGACATCTCGCTTAGACCATATCACCGTTTGATATTCTTGTGCTTTCTTTGCATTTGTTATTTCTTCAGTCTAGTTTCATAATCGACGTCACCCAGTAACTTTGCTGCACATCTGAGCCTACGAGGTTCTAAGGCTCCGTCCTTCTGTCTCCCATCTTTTGTCTTCACCAATTACGCGGTTTGGCACTCATTTACAAAATAGTCGCGTAATTGTCCGACATTTACATCAAACTCGCGTCCCCGAGCAGCAGAAAAATGCACATCCCTTAGCTACGTCAGCTGGATATTTCTGACGATTGGCTCCGTAAGTTCAGTCAAAGTAGAAGATCGAGATGTTTGATAGACACTTAGTCTGACAAATAAACGGCCAGTACGTTGAGTAATTACCAATAGCTGCTTTTTACGTCTGAATATAATGAATATTTACCATTTTTGTCAAGTCTGGCTATGTTTTACGCACTGTAGATGACTCAAAAAGATTATTCATTCTTCATTCCATCACGAATTGATCAAAATGAAGTGCCAATTATCGACTATCCTCTGCTTTAGATTGCTTGCAAGCTCTTTAACGGTCTGTTGTGGACCTTCCCATGTAGAAGCCACGTATCCTCATGCTGTGAGTTTAAGCGTTCGGCGACACGATGATTCGGAGTTCTACGAAGCGAGAAGACTGATCACGGCTGAAGAGAAATCGCTTCCATGTCATGTGGATAAGCTTGCTTCTTGGGTGACGCAATGCATAGGTGGATCGGAGCTAATGATGCACATATCGCCAAGTCACCATATGAGATTCGCTTCTGACAAAGAGGCATCTGCATACAAGCTTTTTCGAAAATATGGAGTTGGAGATTGTGTGACATCAAATATGTTTGCAAGTGAGGCGTTTAAAAGATGGCATGAATACCTGATTGAGGCTTTTCCTGAAGATCCAGATCTACGTGTTAGAATTATGGTCGCAACGATGGTAAGATACGACGAAGACAAGCTTATTGATTCCATTGCCGAAGCGAAGTCAGTTCCAGAAACGTCAGCTATCGCCAGAAAGATGGAAGCAGCATTGATCGACTGGTGGCTTAGCAAATTCGGTAAGCTGGTCGACGCACTAATGGACCCGGTGTTGCAGAAGTGGTATACCACTTTACAAAAAGGAGATTATGCCAAGGATGATCTTTTTCTTAGAGCGTATGCGAGAGAAAACTTTGAAGAAGAAGAAGCCGATCTCATCGCAGCTTCAGAGACAGCAGGAGGCCTTGTCAGCGAAATGGCCATGTCCATTCTTGGAATCAGACGTGCCGACGAAGAGTTTGAAAAACTAGGGCTCGACAAAGCAACCAACATCAAGGCGATCATGAAGCACAAAAATCTTACAGTTTGGCTTGCAAAGGTAAAGAAACTTGGTTGGAATCCCGTCAAGCTGCTCTTGCCCAAGCTGAAAGCCGTTTCAAGTGATAAAGAGATACTTGTTGAATGTTTCTCGGCAAATCGTCTACCAAACGAGCTTCGCGGCAAATTGCAGGACGCAGTCTTTGATCAATGGGCTGGTAAGTCCGGCAGCGTCGTATTAAAGGACCTTGGACTAGACAAGGCAGGCGACGAGCTATTTTCGCAAGAGCTGATACTTTCATGGGCTGACTATATGTGGCGCCTTTACCCGAAAACTGCACCAACTGAGATGGCCAGGGTGTTGTGGGGACAGTACAAACACAAGCTCATAGCATTAGTTGCTCGAGCCGAAGAGAGCGACAACGAACTAGTGGGAGCCCTCGCACGAGACATTGCAGCAGCAGTGAATCATTATGCCTCTGAGATTCTTCCGGGGCCTGAAGTTCCGCCGCCAGTAGCACCGCTGCCTGATATTTAGCTCCCTTAAGTCAATAGCTGGAAAGTAAGTAGGGAAAACAGACTAAAAAAATGTATTACAATTTCTGCAGCAGATGGGTTTGGTTGTACAATAAAGGTATGGTGAAATGCTTATTTGCATTGCAAGAGAGCGCGGCACGGACATCGAATCTCTGCCATTTGAAAGATAGAAAGTCAATAGCATTGAGGCCATATTTGACAGATTGTGGTCAGATCCTCAGCGAAAAAACAAAGCTTGGGATACCCAGATGACATTTCTTCAGTTCCAAACTGCAGGAATGGGATGGGAAGATTTGAAAAGAGGTTTCTTTACCACCAATTATTCGGGTCGCAAAGTTGAAAGCAATATTGATGATTTTGTTGTTAGTCTAGCCGGCAAAATATTAAGGTGCTACAGCTCAAGAAGCCCCAACATTTTTTGTGCTTCATTTTTAGGAACTAAGGTATTGTTAGAAAAAAATCTTTCAAAAAGGCTGGCATAAAATGGTCTCATTCGGATCGAACTTTCTATAACTCATTGCTAAACATTGCATCAAAAAAGCTCGATCATGTCCCCGCTCCTCTAAGTTTCTCTTACCAGGCAGAAAACACAAAACATATTAGATATTTGGATCTATTGAGATGACACCGCTCACTACTGTTATATATATGCAGCTGAATGTCAATTTTACATCTAGGAGTTTTAAATTTGCCTAGAGAAAACGAGCCAGAATAGCCAACCGAACACTTCATAATACAAAGCTTAATTACTGCGAATAGGGTTTGCCTAGCCAGTAACAACGTCCCCTCCAAGTACATCACTACGGGAAAAGGGATATGATCAACGTTTTCACTTACCATCAAATCAGCACTTGCAAATAAATTTAAATCACTGAGTCTCGCATTTTAAATTTCCTTCAAAAGTTGATGCATCGGCGTGCTGATTTTCTTTGCGTAGCCCCCTTTTCATGAGTTTAAACATGAAAAGTGCATCCTAAAGTTAACTTAATTTTGGCGGCATCATCGGGTTTTTAGAGAACACAATCGATTATTTTATCTGTTTCTACAGTAATGGGTATATGCATACCTATAACGATGAGCGCGTATCGCCCCTCGGATTAAAATGAAGTCCAGAATGCAACGGGGATTCCCGTGCATCTTGCACAGAATATAATTTGACTATAAAACTTCAAGTCGACACACAGAAGTGAGTCCGCAGGAGCAAATGTAACCAATATAGTACCTGCTATTTTAAGAATGACCTATATACTGGATTGGTTCTATTCCAACTGATACTTCAGAAATTTACTATATTCCATACTTTCCTTTCGAGGATATTCACAGTTAAATGAGTTTTAATGAGTCGTATAAAATTGCGATTTGCTTCATCACACAAGTGTACTGCTCTCAAATGTAGAGCATACGTGTCCATTCATTGTAACCTGGACGGTCAGAGTCAGAAGTTTTTAATATCTATATCCACACCTCACACGGTTGGTATCCCGTTGCACAAGTAGCTAAAATTTGTTTGCATTTAGAATCGCTACTTATGTCCTCACAACATTGAACAAAAGTTTAGAATTATCAGCCGTTACATAATATAGATCGCATGAAAACAGCTGCTCGTAGTGGCCAATGTGTGAGCATTAATATCATTTACGTAGTGCACAACAAAAGAAAAAGTCACTTAATATTTGTATAAGTTTGAGGGAGGCACTCCACCTTCCATTTATCTTAAAGTCTTTGTGACAGATACAATGCAGCGCTTCCAGGTGCGTATTTGAACTATAATCTCCTGCTTCAGGTCTGAAATGCTTTTTAATCTTGTAGACTGCCCTTCGTACAAAAAATGTGTGGCAACGTATGCTTATCTATGACATGCGCCATACCAATTTTCGTCGCGAGGTCTCACGTGTGATGTTGACTCGCAGCTTTGGCTCGCTGCCCGATCATGAAGTCGTTGGTCTACCAGCTTTATCTCCAACAATGGAAATGGGTACAATTGCCAAGTGGAATAAGCAGGAGGGTGATCCCATCTCGGCTGGCGACGTCGTGTGCGAAGTAGAGACGGATAAGGCAGTCGTTGACTACGAGGCCACCGATGATTCGTATCTAGCCAAGATCTTGGTCCCTGCTGGCTCTGGTGAAATTGCTGTGGGCAAGCCCATTTTTGTCACTGTTCTAGAGGAGAAGGACGTGGCCGCTTTTAAGGATTTCTCAACCGACTCTTCCGCTATTGAAGCCGCCTCCGTCGCTCCTCCTGTAGAAGTCACCCCTCCGACACCTTCTCCTTCTACTCCGGCATCTTCCACTTCTGATTCTGCTGCTAAGTCGTCAGGTGATCGTGTGTTTGCCAGTCCGCTGGCCAGAAAGATTGCTCGGGAATCTGGCGCCGTACTTTCTGTAATTAATGGCTCGGGCCCCAATGGCCGTATCGTCAAAGCCGACGTGGAAGCAGCTCTGGCTGCCAAAAGTTCCAATTCATTTGACAAGGTGGAGGCAACTTCCACGGGCGCCACTATACCGACCACGGCTACCAACTACTCAGACTATCCAGTCAGTGAGGAGTCTCAGACTATTGCTCAGCAATTCACGCAGCAGAAGCTCGAAGTGCCACATTACCACTTGTCGACTAGCCTTGTTCTTGACAAACTTTTGGACGCGCGTGCTCGCCTGAATGCCGGACGTGGCCCAGATGAACAGCTGTCGGTGAACGATTTTATCGTACGCGCGGCCTCGCTTGCTATGCGCAAGGTGCCAGACGCCAACTCGAGCTGGAAAGGCTCATTCATTCGTCAGTATAAAGACGTCAATGTCAACTTGATGGTGTCGTCATTTTCCGGTGGTGTTGTGGCACCTGTGCTTACTCAAGTGAATCGCAAGGGTCTTGATGCGATTTGTCAAGAGACCCAAAAGGTTATTGCTAAGGCCAAGGATGGGAACATTGAACCAGATGACTTAGCTATCGGCACTTTTACGATAGCCAATGTTGGTCAATTTGACGTGCAGTCGATGGCTGGTATTGTGCGTCCGGAACAAGCCTGTCTTTTAGGCTTGGGCACAATCGAAAAGAAGGTGGTCCCGAATGATGACCCAAATGCAGAGCAGATTTATAAGTACGCGCAGGTGATGACGGCGACGTTGGCATGCGACCACCGAGTAATTGATGGAGCTGTCGGTGCACAGTGGTTGGCTACCTTCAAAGAGCTCGTGGAGGATCCACTCAAGATGATTTTGTAAATGGCGCAATCAAAATAGACCATGAAGACAAGCAAAAATAATTGTGTTCTTCCAGTGTCGTTGATTCTTGATGTCGTGTGACCCTTGTTGTCTGCTACTAAAATGGTAATCAGATTTACTTTTGTTCTGTATATCGTGGCCCCCAGGAGCCAAATAAATTGAAGGATAGTACAGTCGTTGGTCATACTCAATCGCATCAAAATCTATCAATCTAACTACACAAAATTCGAATGAAGCTTAAGCAGACCAGAGCATCGTCAGGCAATGTATCTTGGTACTTTGTTAATCTGAAAAGACATTGGGATACCTCTTCTTCTGAAGAAAGCACTAATTAAGATTAGAGACATTATGATTTGCAGTATATTTTGCTCAAGTTGAGCTATGACTAGAAATGCATTGCAACTGACAACGATCTTTTTTGTGTTTCATATAGCCATCATGCGTAACAAGATCACAGGCTACTTATTTCCAATTAGCTCCTGAATAAACTCGTAGAACGAAAACTCAGGCGCGCCAAGTCCGACGTTGTAAATAAAGCGGCTGGCAAGTTGAGACGCAAAAAAGGCACGAGTATAACTCTCAGGTAAGCGTCGAAACAGCTCCTCCTTTGGAATCATGCCCAGCAAAATTTCGGGGAAGCCATCGGCAAAGATTTTTTCCCGTAGTGGCTGGTTCTCCCAAAGTCCTGAGTGTTGAATCTTAGCACTCAGGTCAGTAATACGCTCGCTTAGTTGATTGGTCAGCACCGAGTAGTACATGCCCGAGCGCTCGTGCTCGCGCCAGATACATTCAAATTCATGCTGAGCGTTCAGATCAATGCGATTCTGCACTTCATTTACATAGTTAACGTAAAACGTGGGATGCTCACCAGTAGCTTCGTTCACCAGCATGTGTTCGGCAAACTCCTCGTCCGTCATGGATAATGCAGCTAGTACTTCAAGCGACGACGACGTCACACCTCCTTTATTCGCGGACGCGTCTTTGAAAAGGATTACGCCTGCATCTTCAAGACGGATGCGGGCGTCCTGAGAGAAAAATAAGTTGGCACCCTCTACGATGTATTTGAAACGTAGTGTCCGGCCGTCCTCTCGATACATGAATCGCTCGACGTTGTTAAGATTTACTGCAGCGGGGCGGCCACCACATGGCACAAAGAAGTCAGCCGTGAGACTTGGACGTAGATGAAACAGATTGCGGAATTCTGTGCCATTTTCCACGACTTCACCATTCGGAAGTGTGACGTCATTGTGCGAAACGAGTACCGAGAAGCCGTCCGAAGACAGTAAACTCGTATCAAAACCCGAAATTGGACAACGTTCCTCCGCCAGCTTGACAAGAAACTCGCGATTGATGCCTTTTGGATCATAAAGTACACCCGAGCCGTCAACGATTGCAATTGTTTCTTCTTGCGAACTCATTTTGATCTCATTACTACCAAGGTCTCCGTCCGGACCACCTGTCTGTACTTTAGTGATAGGCGCTTGGAGCTGCAGCTTTCGCTGGATGCCCAATACGTATTCACGCACACTGTGAGTTGTCATACCGTACACATCGTGTGGGATGCCGCCACGTGAAGGCGATTTGCCCGTCGTGATGGCTTTCCAATATGAGTATCCACGCTTTTTGGCGTAAGAGCTGGCCCAGTCCATGAGGTGAGCTGTGCCTTCATCAGGTCCAAGAAACAAGATATCTTCTTCCGGTTCCTTCATCAGCATCAGGTCCAGAATCGCATCAATGTACTTGCGGAATGCTATATCAGCCTTGTCTTGATGCGCTTGGTTTAGTAACACGACGCCTTTCGAACCACCCTCTGGTATATCCTTATTTTTGCGATGTTGCGTCGATGCAAGTCCATAACATTCATCAAAGAGAGACGACGCGTTGTTCAGGTAAACTTGAGCATGTGATGAACGAATCATACGGATGCCACCGCGCGCAACGTCTAGAAAACGGACGTGGAAGCCACGAAATTCGGAACCGATGACGAAAATGATTGCGTAAGGTTCATCCGGAAACTCGGTCTTGCTCAAAAACTTGCCGTCTAAACGGAAAGACAGAGCCGCCTTGTCATTAGCAAAAAAGTTGGTCTTCCGCGTGTGTACATTAAACAGATTGAAGAGCGAAAAAATCTCGAGTGCTTGCTCAGCTACAATCAACTTGCGAAGGGTTGACATTGTAGTGTTTGTATCAACGGGTGGGCGTTTACCATCCTTTGTAGGTTCATGAAGAGCCTTAAACTCAGCGTACAGGATTTTGATGATCTCTGCTGAGCTAAGAATGTGATCTAAGATCTGAGATTCTGTGTATGTATTCAACTTCATAGTCGAGCGCAGCTGCTCCAGACGGGCAAAAGCGTTCGGATCGCGATCACGAAGTGACTTACTGACGATAGCAAACGATTCGGGCAGGCGGTGCATAAAGTGAAAGGTAAACTTCCAAGCCGCGTAAGCGTAGGCAATTTGCTGTGGGGTCAAAAGACCATCTGTGAGCATGGGCGTCAGCGAAGTGCGAGGCAGAGTAAAGTGCATCGAGGCATCGTTAACGACAGCATCAAGACGGTCTTCAAATGATCCTTTTCCAGCAGTAGGATTGTCGAGCATTTGCAAGTAAAAACAGTAAATGACAATACCATTTGCAAAGAACTCGGCATATTTGCGTTGCGAAAAGAGGCCATGCTGACGGTAGACATCGGCAATGCTAGAGAAGTACGAATGCGTTGCGCCACTGCGATGTGCGATAGCAACACGAGCCATTTTCAAACCGCCTGACTCAGTCCATACTTCAGTGTGAAAGGCAGGTGTCATCTGGTTCATAGCTTTGATGATGCATTCTTGATAAACTTCACGAAGACGCGGACCCGATCGTTTAAGAAAGACTTTGTCGGCTACTTTAGAAATATCTGTTTCTTCCTCACTTACGTTTGAGTCGATGTAGTCGGGCTCCTGAAGGAAGTACATGCGTACATGATATGGTACAGATTGAGGATCCAGCACGCCATTTGAGCGATAGCACTGCATGCGGTAAGTGCGCTTCTTGCTATATTCGGCTTTTTCCAGGTACTGATACCCGACTTTTACACCATCGCCAATCACGCCACTCGAGCCACTGAGAAAATGCTTCTCAAGATATCGCTCTAATAGCTCAGTTTCCGTAATGCCAGCTTCGTAACGGGCGGCACGACGACTAGGCTGGTCAGCACTACCCACGACGTTGCTTAGTACAGCGAAAAAAGCGTCCTTTTCTCCTTCTTGCTCAAGCTTGACGTCAGGGCGATTTGATGCTTTGGACATGAGCTTGGCAGCAATCAAACTTTGAATATGGCGCGCAATTTCTGCTGGAGACTGGCCCGAAAAATAAAAGTCGTGAATACCTAACGGTCCATAAAACCACTCGACCTCGCTCGTCACTGCATCGTCGTTGAAGACTTTGGTAGAGCGAATAAGTGACTTGACCTCTTCCATTTGACTAGAAATATCAATTGACCGTGCAACACCAAGATCCATGGAGCGACTGTGGCGAATTTGAGCGCGCGGAGACGCTACCTTGGAGCTCATGCTTGTGGAAGACTTGCTGTTAATACCGCGAAGCACGCAAAAAGTCGAATGATAGTTTGAATCTCTCAGGTTGCAATATACCGGTATTCGAATTCTTCAACGGCAACCGCGTCGACAGCGTCGACAGTGCCGCTTCAGGACTGCTTTAATAGAGTACATTAGTTGTAACACACTTGTGCTAAGTATGTCTTTACAACCCTGACTGTCACATGCGATTTGAAGTTTAATTTCACCCAGTAATAAAATGAAATAAAAAATGCAGATCACCAAATTAGTGACCACCTGGTGAGTAGGTTGACAACTAGCGGTAAGAACGATTAAACTTTCATTTAAAATTTGAAAAGATAATACAAATACAGTAACTATTTAACTTTTACTCTATACGTGGCTGTTGACGTAATCAAACAAATGAGCACATATATTCAATTCAATGTGTCAAACTAAAACAGACAATCATCATTAACTATATAAGCACACCTCGTCCTGCTAGATTAAAAAATTGAATGAAAGCAAAATTAAGGCTTACATTCTTAAAATTTGCTCAGTTGATCTCCTTTTGTAATAGTTCGCCTCATCTTGCCTAAATAAACCCTACAAACTTGTTGTTAAAAACAGATAAGGCTCGCACCGAGACTTTTGACGTCCAGGAAAGTGGTGGACGTCGCATTGAAATCAAATTTAGCTTCCGTGCCGCGAGAAAGGCTGAATATTATACTGAAAGTGGATGCTGTTTTATGCGCGCGATAGGAGACGGATTTCATCCATGGTGAGGAGTAAAGAAGAATATCTTAGCTGCTGATCAGCTCCGCCAACTCGTAGTTTGCCACCTGCGACAGTACAAAAAATCTTTGTCATGCCTTCTCCCCTTCGCTTCCTGCTCAGAAGTATAAGAGGTCGAGCTCCCACGCAAAGGGGCCCGATAGATTTGTCACTGGGAAACGTCGAGTCCCAGCAGTTGCAGAGCGGCCAACTAGAAAGGAATTACATGTATTCACAGTATGACGGGGTTCCACGTACCCTATATGTCGACAGTAAAGGTAATCCTAGGCCTCGCAGCGATACAAGGGTGGGTCTGTCGCGGGGTGACACGTGCCCTTGTAGGAAAGGAGGGTCGCACAAGATTGTGCGATTGGTGTATTTCACAGTTAGTGTAATGACACTGTGGTGTGGCTACACCCACAATTATTCTTCTTTAACATACAGAGCAAACAAGTCATTGATAGTAGCTCCTATACCAGCACTAATGACAATTATGACCAATCCGACTTTTGCGCATAGATGTCTTAATTGAGAGGGTTGATGAAGCAATGGGTAAAGGTCTTGTTATCGATTCAGACTGTGGTGTGTACGCCGACTTATCTGGCGCCGATTAAGTGATCATATATTAAGCTGCCATTGAGCAGCGTAAGGTGATCAATTGTTCGCTCCAAGATGTCATCGGATTGAAGGTCCGATTGAATCAACTAGAGACATCGACCTTCTTGGTATCGGATCCTATATAAGGAGAGCACGCACGGTTCACCTCCGACGCGTTTTTCAGAATGGGCATCGGCGGAAACACAAAAGGCTATAAATAGTTGTCAATTGACCCTTTTTATTGAATGACTCTCAAAAGTGTTTCCCTGGCTTCTTGCAATGAATGTGGACTTGAGGGAATGTTTCTCACGCCTAGAGTTGGAAAAGCCTAAGAGTTTATCTATATCTTTGATTCTGACGTGTACACGCTTACTAGAGTTCGAAGTTTTTCAGCGAATAAACAAGTGCTTATCTGCAGCGGGGCTGCCGTAGCAAAACGCTTGAGGAAGCGTACTTTAGGTCACCGACCTCTCGTTCTTTACACGAACCAAGTACTAGTACAGCGGATCGCAATCCGCTTACTCCAAGAGTAATAACTGCCTTCACAAGGCAAATTGACTCTTCGATTTAAATTTCCAGACTGATTTTGATTTACTTTTATCCTGATTTTAAATGTCAAGATTATCCTAAATATACTAAATATTAATAGCAAAATCTAAATATGCATAACTACTGCTACCTAGACGCATACCGTATTCTTGTTTGGGTGCAGTAACACCATGCACATCCCGTGTGACACACACCCCTGTTACCAAGGTACGTGTAAACCCGTTACACCCTCCCATTTAATATTAAAAACATTTACAGTTCCAATCTACTATTGCCTCGACGAGGCTCGCGTGTCCGTTAGACACTGCAATACAATTTTTTGGAACAAACAACTTCCTTGCTCAATGAGCCATGTGTCAATGACACCAAAATCACCAAGTCTCGCTGGTTTTGACGGCAAGCATGGGCAGAGCACAACTTCATCTCCCGCACTCGGTGCAACGTCGGACAGTGCGTCCGCAGCACCGAGGGGTGTATATCCGAGGCTCGATGGGCACAAACGTCGCACTCCGCGCACACTTTCAGTGCCGGATGGCCTTGTTGAGGCCATGGTCGACTATGGATCTGACATTCCTTTTCCCGCATGGGATGACGAGGAAGGTGAGCTGCGCCAGCGGTGCGATACGAGCCCTGCTCGTGCCATGCGGACCCCATCCGATGTCCGTTCCCTGACTTCTCGTCAACTGAGAGACGTGGTGTGATCACCAATGACCTCGACCTGGAACAGAGGCAAAAGCTTGAAGCTGCTCATAAGGCGGCTCTAAAGCGCGCTCATCCACGGCCGGTCATTGACCCTCGTATAGAGTATGGCTTCCGCCAAACGGATCCCGCTGTGGAAGAAAAGGACGCGGTATCTCGATCGTTACGCGTCCACATAATCGGGCCCCCGGCCAGAACGGATGATGAACTTGCCACACGGTAAGCTCTTCGAGCTCGTTTTTCAGTCCCAAAGAAATTCCGTTAGACATTTATTGCACTCGTCTAAGTGCTTAATGAGGTGGTTCTCGTGTATCCGCAATGCGGACGATATCTGTAATACTCGCTCCAGACGAAACGAAGCGCTCTTTGAGCAATGGGTGCAACGGCACCGGAAAGTTTTCTCACTGCATTATCTGCAGTTGAGCTACAAGGAAGTGGACGTGCGTACCTCCGCTTTGAGTTTGCCAGACTCAAGGCACGCCGTCGACTTCCTTCGGATTGTCACCCTGCGATGTATGAATTAACAACCCCTAATGCTCCCGCGAGCTCTGTGGCGTCGACCGCAAGGGCTCAGGCCACTTCTTGAGCTCAGCTGATAGCCCTTTTACTTCCTTGGCTATTGCCGGGAAGCGCGGGGCGTCCTGATCGTTTCGATCAAAAGCGTCCACGGCGACTGGGCAATCCTGCCGAAGTGACGCCTCAAACTTCCACGAATTTTCGAAGTCGGGATATCCCCGCCACTTCACGAGATATTGGGCTGACCCTGATGACGACGCCGTCTTACTTAACGTTCCACGTGATAGTGGACCTCACCGTTCTCTAATAGAAGAGTCGGTGGCGGGCGGTGACGAACGGGTCGACCGCCGTCCGGTGACTCGTGATGCTATTCGAGCCCTTGAGGACGAGGTCAGTCGTGATCGGAGCTCCGCTGAGCATCATGCTGAAATAGCATATTGCTGTGCGGACGATCTTGACGATTGAATGCACGTCGTGCACCGGCTGCCTCGCGCAGAGGAGCACCGCGCTCTGTCGGAGGGACACCTAGCCGTGTAACAGGCATCGCTGCATGCGACGTTGGAGCGCTTGGCGCCATTAGAAATGGATGTTGTTGCACTCCGTGCTCAGAACCAGTTGCTGGTTCAGCTTCTGGGTGGCCGCGGGCCCGTGGACTCCGCTCCGGCGCCAAAATTTTCGCGTTCACTTGCGCCGGATCCCGGTACGGCTTAAGCAAGCCCACGTAAAACACCGGG